AACCTCCCAAGTGCATCCATAACTCAATAGTGTACGCTGTGGTGTTTACCATTTGTTTTATAACATAACATTGATACATTGTAGCTAAAGAGTTCCCTTTTATTTAACAAATCTTACGTGACCAGAAAAAACAAGCGCGCGCGGAAAATAGTCTTTGCATTTGCTCACGTCAGCAGCGTACACCCATGGGCAAATGGGGGACGCTAATTTGACCAATCAGAGTGCGCGCTTTACTTTGGTTATGTTATAATACTAATTAAGGTCAGGAAAATAAAAGAAATGATCACCAATTAAAGAAGCTCTTGATTGTTGAACAAATTCTCTCTATCAACACTTAAAGAAATATACAGAGAACAGCCTGTAGAATATGCATACTGATGGTGCATGACAGGGTGGAAAGGATTAAGGAAGAGAACTAGGCACATTTCAACGCACAATTGCTAAACTGAACAAAAAATCCTAACCAGTAGCAGGAGGAACCCATCCACTGGGTGATGCTTCAATCTGTTTAAGTCTCTCTGGCTTGAATTCATAGCTAATTCTATCCGTGTGAACCAATCTTCTGAAATAATAAAGCGTACACTGAAAAAAAAGTGAATGAAAGAAATAAGTAAATAAAATTCTGCAAAAACAAATAAATACGATCTTAACCTTAGCTGGTCCTATTGCAGTTGGAGATTGAAGAGCTGGATTTGAAGAAATAAAAGATCTGCAAACTTTACTCATTGCAGTAGCTAAGGAGGCCGCCATCTTTAAACACTGGTAAAGACCACATATCTGTAGAAACATTGATTACACGGCTGACATTCTTATCGCAGGCTCTATTCCCAGTGATCATTTCGCGCCATGCGTCAAATGAATGCGCATTGCGTTTTACCTTCCTTTTCGTAAATTTGGTTGCACCACCACGTGTAATCGGTAAGAACGATGGGATAAATTCGCTTTATTTACATCAATGGGAGTCCATTAGTGAGTTTTCTATCAGGAAAATGTATTGAATAATTATTGCTGTTTCTTTTGGCGATAGATTATTCAAGATGCAGCTATTTGTTCGCGGACAAAACCTTCATACTTTCGATGTCACTGGCACGGAGAGTGTCCAGTACCTCAAGAATGAAATCTCCTTTGCTGAGGGAATCTCTGTCGATGAACAGGTTCTTTTCTACGCTGGGCGACCTCTAGAGGACGAACTGAGCCTTGAGGATTGTGGAGTAGTTGATCTGGCTACTTTGGAAGTCGGGCTTCGCTTGCACGGAGGTATAACCTTAAATCGATTTGTGTATATTTTGCCAGATCACTTTTTCTGTTTTTCACAGAGCTAGATTATGTCTGTCACATTTTTTAGACTCTTTGAAAGCAGAATGTTATTTTTTTCTCAAAAATCTATCAGTTGATTTAAGTGGTAAGCTTGCATTCTTCCTGGTTGCCGCGAGTCAGGGAAATTTTCAGGGAAAACCAACAATTTTCAGCTCTACGGTCGTTAAATAGTCAGGAAATTTAATTTTTGAGTAATTGAGAATTCTAGGCCAGAAGAAATTGAAAAGTGAGGAAACAGTTCACGTCATTTTAGTACGACTCAGCAGTTTTTCCTTCCTTTAATGTTTTTGTGGCACTGTGACACAAATTATTTATTTCAAATATTTGTTGAAAATTTATCAGCGGATGGAAAGACGATTGTAACGTGCTGGTCGTTACTGCTGCTCTGTGTGGGATTTTGAATCATTCAATCTATGAAATTCTGTGTCTACAGCAAGTGAAAAACTACAGTCTGTGGGAGCCAATACCTTTCTAATTGTGTAAGAGAGTAGATTTGAGCAAATTAGAGTAATCATCTCCTATCACTGTAATGTCATCTGTGGATCTTTGAAGTAAATTGAGTTTTTTTTGTGTGTGTGTGGTATGGTGGCTGTTAGATTTTTTTTTTTTAGTTTATGATGCACTACATTAGACTCCCACCCTCAGCTCATATTCTAATAAAAAGCAGGGGAACACCTTAATATAATTCTGCATGCTCCTTTAGAGTCGCATCAATCCTCACAATGGTACCTACAGTATATTTTAAGGTGAATGAAGAAAGGGGATGAGTTTCATAAGAAACTCTAGTGTTGCTCAGGTAGGAGTAACAAGGTCATTTGGGTTTTATCACAACTGAGTTGATAATGTAGATTGGCCATCATAAAGAGTTCAAAGCCAATATTTTGAGCACAAGCCCTTTGTCAGAGCAAGTGGCAAAGGCTAACACTTGAAACATCAGCTGACATTTCGAGTGTTAGCCCTTTGTCATTCGCTCTGATGAAGGGCTAATGCTCGAAATGTCAGCTTTTTTATTCGTTACATTGGCCACTTTACAATTTCAACTTAGTTGATAGAACCAAATTACCTTGTTAACCCCACCGATGCAGCACCACAGTTTCTTTAGAAACTTTCAGCCTTTACTCAAAACATCATCTTTGAAACTCTTTACAGTGGTCAATTTACATAAGCAACTCAGTTTATTAAACCAAAATTACTATCTTAAGGTGACATGACTCTACAGCTTTCCTAGACCGGAACCTTTCAATATTAACTATACTTAGGCATCTTGCTAGAAGAAATTTTAGAGAAAATTTAGAACTATTCTTTTTTCTCACACAGGTAAGGTTCACGGTTCTCTTGCTCGTGCTGGTAAAGTGAAGGGACAAACACCCAAGGTATGTTTCTTTCTTTATCTATTAATCCTTTTCACCATAACTTCGGTATACATATGTGACAGGGCACAGGATTTTGTACACTAACGCTTTACCGTTTAACGAAATAATCCATTTACTATCCGTTTATTATCCGTTTAAAAGGGATCATCAAAGCCTTTAAATGCTTTCTTGATCCGTTTAAATGCTTTGCTCATCCATTTAATGTTTTGGACAAAATGTTTAACCTATCCATTTAAAAAAAAATCCGTTACTTGCATCCGTTTAACGTTTTTGAAAAGCAACGGTATAAAACAGTCTCCAGAAGCATCCGTTGAAAATCAATCACGCTTCGATCGAGCAGCTATGTTGGTCTTCGCTACAACTTACTGTTTGCAAATCTCTGGTATGAAAAGGTCTTCGATTAGAAGAATTCTCAATCAGATATTGAGACACGAGCGCTCGCATTACCTTACGAAAACAGATATTTGTTAATTAACAGGAGATGAGTGAGATTTGTTTTCATGCTTATGCAAATTTATTTTGATAGACATGTAGGGCGAAATTTACTGAATCAGTGGCTATCGGGTTTCTCATCTTTTATTTCTATCAATTGAAAGGAAACAAAAATGGCTTTATAATAGCTATAATTACGCATTACTTTACGAAATTGAACGCTAGATGAAACATGAGCGAAAGAAAGTTGCATATGCAAAATTGTTTCGTTAACTGACGGTGAAATCTACAAAATCGGCGGCTATTTTTACCTACATATAAGCCATTTCTTAATGTTTTTCACTTGATAGTGTGATTTCATTTCACTCAATACGTAGAAGAAACAATGTAGGAACATGAAAAAAAAGAAAAGACTTTGCCTCTCAATTCTAATTTTTTTTTCTGTTGAGAATGTTCCGTCCGCATGGTATGATTGACAGATTGCTTCCTCTGCTTATATTTTATGCAAATTTTCAAATGAATTGTGAGCTCTCTAGAGCGAGACTCACTCTCGGCTTGCTTTACTCGCCAGTGGATAGCTTAATTGCAGGCTAGTAATTTAATTTTACTTTGTTTTCTATTGGTGTCAGTCAAATATAATAGCATGAAACGTCAGTGTTCCGCAAAAACAATTCGTATAATTGTTCGCAACGGTTTCTGTTAGTTATGTGCATGGCTTCCCGCTGTTCTTTAGCCCTCCTGATCTGTTCAAGGTTTTTGTCCATCCATTTAAAGCTATCCATTAATAGATTCTATTTAACTGTTTAACATTTTGAGCCAGCCATTTATTTTTTTTTCTCGGCCGTTTAACGATTTACGGAATCCGTTTTTGGACTTTGCTCTACCATTTAACGCTTTGGACTATCCGTTTAAATGGATATGCAAACCGTTTAAACACTCTTACTACCCGTATATTAACTGTTTATTTTCAACCGTTTAACGAAAAAGCATTAGTGTACGAAATCCTGTGCCCGGTCGCATATTCTCCATACTGTTCTCTATACCTTTCCCAAGGTGCAAAGAAAGAGAATTTGTTCAACAATCAAGAGCTCCTTTAGTTGGTGATCATGTCCTTGATTCTTGTGACCTTATGTTATTCAGCCTTGCCTTCAACAAACTTATCAGTAAAATCAAAGTGGTGAAGAACAATACTAAGTAAATCAAGGTGGTTTTCACAAACTGCCCCATATTTATTTAAAGCAAAGTGAAGTCAAAGAGGAAACATGAGGATCGAAGATATAAAGAAACTTTTGTGCTAAACTTTCCTCTATCATCATTTATGAACTCTGTCCTTAGTGTACCAGTAAGCTTACTATATTGCTGTGTTCCTGTTGATATTAAAATGCAGCTGTTAGATCATGGAAGAGATTCTTGGCTTTTGATACCTAAACATGGCTTCTACCTTTTATACAGGTTGACAAGCAGGAAAAGAAAAAGAAGAAGACTGGCCGTGCTAAGCGAAGAATGCAGTACAACAGGCGATTTGTTAATGTTGTTGCTGGATTTGGGAAAAGAAGGGGACCTAACTCAAATGCCCCCTGAAGTGCTATGGTAGTTGGAATTTCAGTCATGTAAATGGTGCTTTCTCATCAATAAAATATTGTACCATAACTATGCACTGGTTTGTTTTGTCATTGGTAATACTTTTAATAATCTACTTGAAAAAATTTCTCAGTTCTGATTGGTTAAGATGAATGCAGTTTTCAGTTAATTCAGTGCAGAAGAGAATTAATTCAGTGCAGAAGAGGGTTAATTGAGTGCAAAGAAAAAAACAAACCAGACATTCTGATTTGTTAGAATGATTGGTCAATGTCAAAGTCGGTGTCACTTGCAGGGTTTGAATAAATTATTTTTGCACGTGCTTTTCTTCTGCGTAGTTATGAGAAGCTACCTCGTACTTTTTCATGTATATTATTAATAGATAATCGCATGATTTTCTCATGCAATTTGGAACAAATAAGCACTTAATTTTTATCAGACCACAAATTCCACTCACCCTACCGGCTCATGCAATTTTGTTAGTCTTTGAAATAATTTACTCATGCTTGTTTATTCCAAATTGCTCTCGAAATCATGCGATTACCAATACATAGAAAATGATAGTCTTTATTTGGTGTGAAAATGTCCTTGAATTATGCCAGAGAATAAATTGACAAGAAGGCTTGTGTTTTACTAATCTCACAAGTATTTTGTGCAGTGCAGGGGTTCAAGCATTCACAGGATGCTTCTCAAAGACCCAAAATGGGTAACCTAGTCACAAGTTTCTTTGGTTGTACACCTGCAGTTTTTATTCACAGTTTCCCATGTCTCCACAAGGAAAGCCTGTGACTATGATGCTGATTTGGCAACCAGATAAAAAAAAAAAAAAAGGAACCACTTGCATGATAATACAAAGTTGCAGTCAGTGTTAACAAATGATTGAGACTTCAGCAATTCCAATTAAATACAGACCTGAGTTAAATATACCAGGGGCAAACAGACTTACGACAATGTGATAAGGATCTTAAGATTTAAGATAAGTGGTTTAATCTAGCTTACAGAGCAGGAATCTTGGTGGGGAGAGTGAGAGTTACAAGCCCACAATAGTTCATTTGACTGCCCATGTTTGATTTAGAGTTGGGAGTGTATTGTGGGGAGGAGAGAGGACAGTGGAGATAACTGAAGACCTTAGCAGAACATGAGGGTAACCAGCAGACTCGTATCTAGAGCTGAAAATGTTATGTAAGCTCACCCATATTTAAAGAACATTTTCCATGACCAGACATGACACGAAATGTTTCCTGAAAAAAAAATGTAAATATTAGCCAGCTTCCATATAGAATGGCTGTTGATGACTTATACTTTGTAAAACCACATGTTGGCCTGCATTATCCAGAACTGCGAATAAGTACTATGCAATTTCAGTGAAAGTTTGTGGGAAGATCTGCATGCAGTGACAGGTTATTAATGAGAAAGGTGGGAATAATAACTAATTTGGTAAAAATAAAAAACCACAGAAGACATACAAGTAAACATCCTCCACAAACTACCTTTATTTGCAGTCAACAATGTAGCCATGAAAAAGTTTTGCCAAAAAGTGGTGCTCATGCCCCCTTAATTTTTCCTATATATGGCTAAAGTACTTATTTGCTTACCTAAAGTGATAACTTATATCATACAGTGACTACATGTATTTCGATCCATAAATTTCATAGTTTTCCCTTTAAATTATTTAATTACTTGTTCTTATTCAAAATATGTTAACTATCGCTTCCCTACCAGTAAATCGTGGCCTGTTTTATTTGCTTTTGACCAGTTTCTGACAACATCAAAGGCTGTTATAGACTGGTCAATTATTAAATATAAAAAGCCTTACAATTATAGCTTACGATTAAATGTTGTAACATACCGAGAACAAAATATGAATTGCAGGACTGAAACTAGATTGTCCAGAGACATACTCATTTGTTGCCAAACTTCAGCAAACTAGCACAAGACTCTCTTACAAAAAATGAGTCTGTAAACAGACTAGATTGAATGCCCATTTACTGGGTATCAGATGAATTTCCATTTGCAACAGAAACAGAATTATAATACAATTAATATTGGCATGAGATAGCTGAGTGGATTTCTAGGAGTTGTCAGTGCAACTGTTAGATATGTATTCAGTTTTTTAAACTTCAAAACTATTAATGTTTTCCTTACCTAAGGCACATGGCTAATTGAGTTCGAAACCATCTTGGTACAAAATGTTAATTACAAGATAAATGCAAGTTAAAAATGTAAGCCAAATGGGCAGATTTTACAGGGCTACTGATCCCAAGTTCTAGTTATCTTGCAATGAAATCTGCCAATAAGTTGAAAATTAGATATAAATTATTTCTAAATTCATCAGTAATTTATATATTTAATAACAACAAGAGCTCCGTGGAAGAACTTCACTTTTAGTGTCCAAGAGTACTGCATTGGATCCAATCTCACCAGCAGAAGAGAGTCTTCTTCCATTCTAAAGAAAAAATAACAAGATCAGTTACACTCTTCAAGGAATTACAGAATGTGAAATTTAATCATTCATAAATAAACAATACAGTTAGGCTTAGTGGTGAACAACTGACAGAACAAATCCTTGTTCTAATGCATGTAGGGATTATGAGTGAGAGCAAATTCAACTTGAGTCTTGAAGTAATTTAAGATTACAATACATGTCCTTCTGCTTGAATTTGCCCTTTGATTGGTCAGGAAAACTGGATTCACCATCTTAATAACACGGATGCAACCCATTGATGGAAACCAATCATACCTCGAGGTATTGTGTTTTCACCCACTATGGATAGTTTGCTTGTTTTACAAGATCCGGAAACATTGCACTTTCTAAGCTGAAGAACTTTTACCTGGTCAGGCACATCCATTGTTTGTAAAATTTGTCGGCATATTTCTGTGAAGGCCTAAAAAGAAAAGCAGAGAAAGATGCTGTGGAGAAGTAATGGGTTGGTTTACCTCTTGCTTAAATCTCTTTTAAAAGAAAATTAAAATGAATTACACTAGAAATAAAAATGGCAGTTGCTGTACAATTAATTGACATTTAGCAGGTATTAGGCTCTTACCTCATCTATATTTATATCGGACTGTGCACTTGTTTCATAGAACTTAATATTTTTTTCTGCAGCAAGCTGAAAAGTAAAATTCCAAGGCCTGGTAAACGTTTGTGTTAAGAGAGAGTGTCAGTATTGGAAAATTACAGTTTATGGATCCACCGTTACATGTAAGAGTTCTTTTTTTCTAAAAAAATAATTTAAGACAACTGTGTTTTTTTTTATGCTGTACATAAAATTTCAATCTTCTTGCTTTCATATCAATATGTTCTTGATAATTAATTAGTTGTACATCATATACTTAATTTTACTTTTGTTCCCAATTTTCTGATACATAATATTTTTAGCCAATTTGTTAACTCAATACCTTCATTTCACAATTAATTTACATATATTATTTTGCTAACTCAACACACTAGCTGTACATGCTAGGAGCCTAGCAAGCTCCAATTGATCAAGTATAAATAAAGTTGTTTTTGTTGTTGTTGTTGTGACCCTCTCTCTTTTAGCCCTCTCTTCCTTACTGCACACAGTGTTAGAGGTTTAATTTAGATGCACAACTGTAGAAAAAAAATGCAAGACCTGGAAGAAACACATAAGAGAAAAACTTTTGGGAAGTCCAAATTACCAACAATTCTATTTCCTGATGTTTGCCAAGATGACTAACATCTTTAACTCTTATGAGTGACCAAGACAGAATTTCTCCTTACAATTATATCAAGCAGACAAGTAGTGAGGGGAAAAAAATAAATAAATTAGGAGATTTTTAGTTGATCCAGTACCAAAATCTCCCAACTAAAATCATAAGAATTGTAAAGCAGGCAGTTTGAAGAATTACTGATGAGATCTTGGAAGAGGAAGGGTCAAGTGATCTCAGTTTCCTCGCATTAAATGAATTAGAGAATTGCTACTTACAATGGATAGGACTCTAATCTATGGCACCCCACCCCTTCCATCCTCTCCCCTCTCCTCTCCCCCTACATTTTTTCAGGTTACCCAGACTGTTTTCTATAATTCATTTACACTCTCCTTTTCTCTACCACTTATTAAATAAATGTAATAATGTAAAACTATCAAAGGATACCAACCCTTGCTCCTTGATCCTTCCAAACCATTCTTTCATCTTCGGCATCACATTTATTTGCCAGTAGCAGTCTCTGAACATTGTTGTTAGCATGCTAAGAAAAGGAAATGACCTCTTAACCAAGGCATACCAACCTTATCACTTTTAAACAAGTTGAAGGTGGACAAACAGTCAGGAAAATTCCCTTAACACTCACCTCATCAACATATCTCAGCCATTTTCTAATATTATTAAATGTTTCCTGTCTTGTTATATCATACACTAGAATTATCCCCTACAAAAAAAAAGAACATTTAAGGAAATTAATTCAAAATTATTGACACAAATTGACATAAGAAATATAAACTGAAAGTCATCTGGTATCCAGAGCTCACAAATCTGAAAAGTTCACACTCAAGTCAACAAGTCCTTTTGAAAGTGCTCACCATTACAATTATTCCCTGTTGAATATTTATTGATTAAATTCCTTAACTCCCAAGATCTAATTGTAAGTGCCCCTATTACATGAGTTTCTGTTCATTGTTTGATTCGGTAAATAATCTTTAAAGTCATACTGGGTGGCTAGTCATACGCTCTTAAGTGTAATTCAATACAAGTCATTTGATGAAAGGCCCTTTATCAGTTTTTTGGTAAGCACTCGTGCTCATAAGGAAAGAAATTAGTAAAGGAAAGTAAGGAAAGGTTTAATCAATATCAACTCTTGCCAGATCCAGCAATAATGTAAGTTTGATTTACCTGAAACATTTCTTAATCTATTTGCGTGTCTCTAATTTCTTAAATTAATTTTTAGTTTCACAGTATAATACAATAATAAAGAAGGAGGCGTTCCCAAAGAAGTTTGGTGTGGTACATTGCATTTATTAGTGGATTTTGTGCAGTCCAGCTAGTGGTGGAGAAGCGCCACTATACTGTTGTTAATTCTCTCATCTAGCTGCTACACATTTCCTTTTAACTTAGTTACAAGAATCTGGTATTGGATCAAGATAAAAATTTCTATCTAATACCTTTGAGTATTCTCATTACTTGTTTGTTGGATAAGTTATGGATATTACAGGGAAAAGTTACATGTTAATCACTCCTGGAAGTTAAAAGGTTTGAAATGTAGCAAACAAAGATCACCTAATAGTGGATTTTCAGTGGTATGTATCATGTATGGAAGAGAGATGAAAGGGAAAAAAGAGCACAAATTTGATTTTAGTTATTCCCTGTGGTAAAACACCGTCCAGTCAAAGCCATATAATTATTATCACAGTCATTACAGCTGAGGCACTTAATTTAATAAATTTGGCATATTATACTGAAACTCACCCTGTTTTTCCCCCAATATATTTGATCTCAATTCACTGAAACAGAACATCAATGACTCTTTTTCTAATTGTAATCCCTGTGACCAAAAAATAGATTTGTCCCACAGCTGAGTTCAGGTCACTCACTTATCAAGAAAAACTCATTATGTCAATAGATATGGTTGAAAGTATAGTTGCTAAGTCTACATGACTTGCAAATAGGCATATGAATTTAATCAGTACAGAGACTTACCTGTGCTCTCCTGTAGTACTGTGTTGTAATTGTTTCATATCTTTCTTGACCAGCTGTATCCCTACAAATTCACGAAGCACATCTGTCAGCAACAATTGTTGACAATCAAAGGCTTATGTTGAACTTCCCAGGTGGTATCAGACATTCTTTTCAGAAAAAGATGTTCCCCGGACTATGAAAAACCCTGAATAGCTGTATTCATCTAAATTAAGAAGCAGAGATCAGTTCAAATATCAATAAAGACCCTCCCCTTAGTGGTGGTTAAAGTCCGTCATTCTTTAAGGATCATGATTTCCTCTGGACAAACTATGAATAGGGCAAAAAAATAAATCTTGAGTGCTCTATTTAAATTATACTACTTAACAAAGAATTTCTCAACAAATCAATGAAAGCAAATTTAACCCAAAACTTCAGCTTAGATTGGTTTTAATTGTCTGATTGCTTGTCCTGCAATTGCAGGGGGTCCGCTAATCAAAAAGATAGTTTCAGGTTTAAGTCATTTGAGCAAAGGTCATAAAACAACAAGCAATGCAAGAAAAGAATCAGTAGCTATGTAATTACAATGGAAAACATTCAGTCTTGGTTTGGAAAATTCAATCAAGATTTTACTGAAAATCAATTGCTTTCTTTGAGTACATCTCCTTGGAATTCAACCATAAGTATTAATAAAAGATAATTCCTTTCAAATTATACAGCTTTTTAACAAGAAAAGGCTGAGGAATCGATCCAGACAATAAAGCAATTAATAGAATCTTATATCTCTCTGAAATTCACTAAGATGTAATTGCCTGACTGACTTTGAGATGGGTTAAGGACACGTGAAAGGAAGTAACATTCCGATAAAATTTGATTGCTTCCACTAGTGCTCTTGACGAAAAGATGTATCTCAGTGAAGCTCAAAATGTCCTGCTCAAAGAGCGGCACTTAATTATCTTCTAGTGAGCGCAATAAAATTTAAAAGTAGCTTCGAGCCATAAAATCTGAATTAGCCATGATTAATATCGTAAACTGTACCAACGAGTTCGACGAAAATAACACCACATATAAACGCTTTAAAATAAGTAGGACCAAATAGTGATGGGGCAAATGCAATCGATGTGGATTACAAAGTTCTTAGTTTTTCTGCGGAAGGGGGTTGTTCTCACGATCGTCTTGTAAAAGTACGTTTAATGGCTCGAACCTTGCAGACTGGTGTTTCCAAAATATTAAGTACTGATAGTAAATAAAAATTCAACAATATAAGTAAATTATTTCATGAAACGTTAATGAACATGTACTAAACGGCATCTACATACGTGGAAAAAGAGGGAGCGCTGAAATCAAACTGTGTTAATTATTCTCGAGTTTTCCGTTTGCGCTAGCTGCGGTAGCCTAAGCGCTATGTAAAAATAGTTTCGATACTAAAAGTACCTAACTTACTTTCGTATTACTGTATCTTAGATGGACGGAAAAGGTACATCGAGAAATCATTTATGAACAAAATTAAAGGCAAATGAGTCCGTCCTCTTTACCTCCCTGGCGAGAAAAAGTATCATGACGCCTTACCACCGGAAACCGGCGTTCAAACTGCACGAGAAGATTTCGGTTACCTAAAGATGGCTTACCACATCTGTATTCGGATCCTTTTCCCTTCGACAACAATCGTTTTCATCTTGAAATCTATTCCTAGAAAATGGAGAACGATGCAGAATTATTAATCGATACAACAAATTACAGGTATTTCAGTGACAACCTGCTGCATAAATCCAGTGTAGGAAATCTTCTTCGACTGATTTTATTAGCTTACCTATGGTTGATATGTGGGATCTGTTAAATTCGTTGTTGGCGAAGCGACAGAGGATACAAGTCTTTCCAACCCCTGAATCTCCAATCAGGAGAATTTTGAACAAGTAGTCATAACTTTTCGCCATATTTTCCTTATCCAATTATAGGGCAGTCAACCGTTCCAACTGACACAAAGGCCTACGGCGACTTACGCTTGGCAACTTCGCATAAAATATTCATGATATAAACAGCTAACTTTACAGCTTCCTTTCCGGACTTTTACGAAATAGTATCCACTTTCGGCGCCATTTTTAAAATAGTTCTTCCCCAGACCCTGTGGGTTTTTTTTACTGGCTACCAGTCTTCGTTGAGGATTTCCCGCCAACCTTTTCCTATTTTTGGCGGTCGTCTTTTTCTTTATGATCGTCAGTTTGTAGTTTTGTGATTTACCTCAATGAAGCCAAATTCAAAGAAAAGCATTATATATGCCAAGGTAGATACTGCGTAAACTTAGTTTGATGATTTTAGGAGGAACGTAGAATTCACTTTACATTACCTTACGCACCGGCCTTGTCGTGTGACAACGTACTTATAGTTAGCTCATTCAGTTAACTTTGAATTCCAAATTAGTACTTCTGATTTTTATTTCATTCGGATCGTGTTTTAGTTTCTAATTTGCGGATATTGAAGCAAAAAAATCGTAGCAATAGCTGGTATTTGTTTAGTGAAATTAAATATTATATTAATTTTTCTCTTTCTCCCAAGCCTTGAGACAAGCTAATTTCACATTCGTAAATAGGCTAAGATTTATTATTATTTTTTTAGGTTCTTGATCGGAAGGTACTAATGGTGGAGATTTTTATACATCCAGTACGTTCTCTTGAAGAGCAGTCAACAAAAGTAAATAAGAGCAGTGGATACAAGTGGTTTACAGAAGAACACTTTCGTGTGAGTAGTGCTTTACGGGATAATTGATAACCTATCACTTCTTAATTAATGCCATGCTTATGTTTAGTTTTCAGACCAGTTATCTCCAAACTTGGGCTGTACGCTGAATGCAAAGCCCTCTGGAGTATGCAACAATCTTTATAATGATAATTTACCCTTTACTCCCAGAAGTGACTAAAATGTAACTTCTTGCTAGAAAATCCATACATTTTCCAGCAAACAGAGAAGAACACTCTAAAGTATTAGAAAGAAGTGGTTATTTTGATCTTACAACAAATTTTCATTGCTTAACTCACAAGAAAATGTGTAGCAGCAAGATGGGAGGATTAACAATCAGATCTTAGGCTTTAAGGTTAAAATTTGTATTATTTGGGGGGATCAAAGTTTCAAAATCTCTGCTCTGGAGACTAAGTGGAGGGTAGCCTGTGATTTTATTGTTTGCTCACAATGTAAAAAAAAAAAAAACAAAAGACTAAAGTGCATAAAGTTTGCTCTTTTTTTGTCTTTATTTTGCTTATGACCCATAGAGGTTAATTACAAAGCTCCAGGATGTTATTCTAGCAAGAGTACTGGCTCCATCTGAAACCGTAGGCAAAAGGAAAGGAAAAAATGATAGGACATCTCAATGTGATTATGCTGAAACATTACCTGGTTAGCAAGAACTTCATCATGATTGATTTATTTGAAAGTGATTCAGATAAAGTTCGTCTTAGTTTATTTCTTGTCATAATAATGGTTTGAAAAATGACTTTTTGTCTTTAAATAGATCACGAGTTGCTTATTCAGTATCAGTTTGTCAGAAGAAGAATGTATAGGCAAACTGTCTTAATTTATAAGAAAGAGGTGAGGGTAGTAATTCTATTTTAAGAGTTTTACTAATTTCTTATTGAATATATTCAGTGCAGCATTTTTATATTGAACGAGCCTTTTTTTTCTTGAAGACAGTGTTATGCTACTTAACAGGCAGGGCTCGAATTTAATTTTTGGATTACTAACCCTTCGGGTTAGTAGACATCTTTTTTACTAACCAAATTATAAAGTTTGGTCTCCAAGCTCACCAGTTACGATATCTTAAGTATTGAATATTTTGATCATATTGACTAGGACAAATTAAAGAGTAGCTGAAATTGCACGGTGACCTCAAAAACGTTGAAATTATGCACCTATTTTATTTCCCTCTCATTTACCATGATTAGTCAAGAACAGTACATCTACAGCACACTCTCTAAAAACAGTTAAAGTTGACTTAACAACTTGAGTATTCTAAGTTTTCCTCTGAGAGTCGGGTCTATGTGCTCTTTTTCCTGAGGTCTACCAATGTTTAAATATGTTAGAAAATTTTACTAACCATGTCGGGTTAGTTGGACAAATTTTTAGTGACCAAACGCTAAAAATTACAAACCATTGGTTTAGGGGTTACCGTTCATTTCGAGCCCTGACAGATAGCTCAACTAGTGACTGGATTATTCTTGAAAATGTCCTGTTTGTTTGCTATTTACCTACTGAGTACCTGGAAAAGGCTTAAGTCCTCAGTAATTGTTAAAAAAAAAAAAAAAAATTCAAGTCTGTTTATGAGGCAAGTGGCTCATAAGCCCAGTGTTACACTCTGGTTCCCATAGCAGGAAGCTTTTAGGAGTATTACTACTCCCCCCTGGATAGGATGCTAGTCCATCACAGGGTTACCCCCCATCATTAAATTTGCCAGTACCCATTTATACACCTGGGTGAGGAGAGGTGCTGTGATTATTAAGTAGTGTCTTTCCCAAGAACACAACACCATGTCCTCAGCCAGAGCTTGTACCTAGACCACTTGATTGGGAGTTGATCATACTAACCATGAAGCCACAGTGCTTTCAATAAGACCTGGCACCTGCCGGAGCTCCGGCAGGTATTCTGTTGTGAGTTGCCGGGTATATTTCACCGTGCTCAAGTCGCAGTCGCCATGCTTAAGTTTCACTCAAGTCGCTCTCCCGTGGGTGCTGTACTAATTAAAGTTAGCTACCTATTTCAAATCTTATGGAAAGCACTGAGCCATCACATCTCCCACTCTCAGTTATTGTAAGGAAGACTCATCACTCATTCCAGATGGCTGGTTGTTTGGTGGGAGAACTGATTGGGGAAAAAGACTGTAATCCCAGTCAGTTTCTTTTCCCTTTAGAACTGCCTGAAAAGTTGCCTGTGGCATGGACTGCTCACAAGTTGGTCATATGGTCCCTGCTTTGTGCAAATTATTAATCATTAATATTTTTTTTTGGTACGTTTTTTAATTAAAGGAACCACAAGCAGGAGATCCAAGGGAGGGTAAGAAGTTAAGGCAATCTGACTACTTGGGTGATTTTAATGCTGTCTAATGAAAATATTGATGGAGTAAATATTTAATCGATAATTGGTGTGTATTACACAAGCTCAGGTGATGTAAATGTTTTAGGTCAGTCTCACTTAATAAGCAATGAACTGGCTCATGATTCCAGTAACATTGGAGAAGCAAGAATGGTAAAACAGTTAGAGATTTCACCTGAAATTGCTGTGACTGAGGATTGGATCCAGAAGTTTTCTTATTTCTCCCTCTTTCTTTCATTTCTCTTTCTCCTTCGAATGAACCACAATTTTTTTTTTGGACAAAATTGATAAGGAGGCTCTATTGTTTAGAGTATGTATACTATTTTAATATTTAAGTAGTGCAAAACTGTGGTGGTTCTTGAATCAGTGGGTGCCTAAGGGCTCTTGGCTCCACAGTAGTTATACATCAAGTCACCCACAGAAAAATGTTAGTCACAAGGAGTTCTTTGGAGGATTGTTTCTGAAACATTTAATTAGAGAGTTTTATTTTTCAGGTGGTGGCTATGCAAACTATAATTTCTATCCAGAGAAGCTTCTAGTTACAGTCATGTCAAATTCTCAACCAGGTGATCAGAAGTTATTAGTAACATCAAGGGTAAGTTGTTCTTTGATTTTGTTTGTAAGGTTCATGATGATGATGAGTATGGTACTTTAAGAGGGGAACAAGTAAAGTTGCCCCCTTGCACAGTGGCCCCAAGTAAAGTTCCATCACCCCCAAAATGAAGTTGCATAACAAGCAACAGAACAGCATTTGGGGGCAACAAAACTTGGGTTGACCATGTAAGGGCTGCGATGTCACCCACATTCACCTAGTATACAAACTTTTTGTTAAGTTTATTCTTGATAGCAATTAACCTGCACTTTTACAGTCGAAGGCACTAGAGCATTTTGATGTACAGTAGAGCGACAAGAGGATGATCTTCCCCCCCTCTCAACATTTTTTTTGTGATTAATTAAGGGCTTTTTTGATAAATTTTCATTCACTGTAATTAGAAAATTGGAAGATACTGAGCCATAGAGTTAAATAAAATGGATCCAATTTCCTTAAAGGAAACCGAAGATGTTCAAGAGCAGCAGCTGTCCAGGTCAACCATCAGCAAGTACTTTTGTAAAGAAACTACTTATGTAACATGTTCAACCCAGAAAAAAAGAGCTGCGTTGATGAGTTTGTAAGTAGAAGTGCTCATTTCACCATGATTTGTCATGTCCTGTCCTGTCCTGTATTGTGTATAATCTGTATACTTTTTTTCCCAAGATCTGTTTGTTAATTCTTCCCTCTAGCTGCTACACATTTCCTTGTAAATCAGTCATGAGAATGTGACCAAGGCAGGTTCTGAGGTTGTAAGTGCTGGTCTTGACACTCTGAACTACTGAGTTAAACTAACTAACTGTACTTCTTTTATAAGGAATCGAACAATAGCAGGAAATTCTCTAAAATTTTGGAAGTTAGGTGTGAGTATTCTAAAGGAAATTTATGATGCAAATCCTGTGTGTATGATAATTTGGTTATCTTAGGAATTAGTTAGGTGTGATGGTGTGAAAAGAAATTTATGATGCAAATCCTGTGTGTGTGTGATAATTTGGTTATCATAGGAAATAGTTAGGTGTGATGGTGTGACTTAAAGGAAATTTATGATGCAAATCCTGTGTGTGTGTGATAATTTGGTTATCATAGGAAATAGTTTCTGAAGATGTAGTTCTAAAATTATAACAAAAAATATTGCAATGTCATGCACAATTGTGAGCCTGGTCACAAGAATTTGGTGTTAGATCAAGATAGCACCTTCTACTTGATAAGTTTTAGTATTCTCATTACCTATTTGCTGGATAATAAATGGATATATTTGGGTCAAATGTCAAACACTTTTAGGATTTAAAGGGTTCCTGTATGCTATAATTTATGGGCATATTTACCAGAAATTACGACTCAAGACGACTTAGGACAAACATTATCTGTCGACAAATCGATGTTGAAAGTACAACTGTATTATCAAAATGTTTGACCATGTGCTCAGATTGTCAGATGATAATCAAGTAATCGCAAAGTTTAAAGGTCTTAATTTCTATTTGCTTTAACTTTTTGTGTATGGTATGTTGTTGTATCCTATAGGAGAAAGAAAGATGACTCGCAGGAAAAGATTGAATCCTACGCTTGTTCTAATTCGTCTGTTGAGGATGAATCAGAGAAAACAGAAAAGACAAACTCCACGGCTTCTGACTCAGCAAAATTACAGGATGCGGACATTGATGGAAAAAAAGATGATACCTCTTGTGCTAATCAGTGCAGCCAAAAAATCGAAACACGCGACGTCGTTCCACCTTACGAAAGCGAGAATGGCTCAAAACAAGATGGGCATGACAAGAACATTCTCAAAAGGCGTGAAAACGTAGATAACGAGCAGAGATCGTCGCAGAATGATATCAGTGTGGGCAGCGTCTCTGCAACGATGGAAGATGTTCCTCAGGTGACCAGTTGTAGCGATGACGTCAATTTCTCGAAAGATATCATGAACAATGAAGCTGTTAAAGACACTGAAAAAAATAAATCAGGATCGATTGTTTCTAATTCTTCGAAGTTAAAACGAAGCAGATCCTTTTCTGAATCTGATACAACTGACTCTGACTCAGTTCTGTGTCTTAGATCTCGAATTTCTAAGTACAATGCTGTTAAGAAACAGAAAGCTGTGTCCAACGATGAAAGTGGAGGCAAAGGAAAAGCGATAGCTCCTGTCATCGATAAAGCAGAAGATGATAACGATTTCGAGACTCCTAAAGTGAGACGAAACACGGCAAAGCGCAAAGGTTCAGACTTGTCCGATGATCAAGACCTGTACTCATCCGCTTTTTCAACTGACGGTAAAACCTCTTCAAATGTCAAACCTGAGGCAAAGGGAACTATCAACTCAAGGAAAAGGAGGACCAATCAGGCAGAAACAAAAGGAAAAGCTTTGGGTGGGAAGGCTACAAATCTAAAGAGGAAGCGAGTTACTAAACGACAAGCGAAGACAGTGAATCAAACCGCACTAATCAATTTGGGAGGTAAAATAACTGATTGCTGATTCAGTCTTCTCTTTCCTATTGAGACAGGGCCTTTGTGGCGTTATTTTTCACGGGACGCCTTCTTTGTCTCCTTCGAGGTCATGTTCATGGTCCATAGCTTTGTTTTAATCCTTTAGCTTCCATGAGTGACCAAGACAGAATTTCTCCTTACAATATCAATGCAACATAAAGCGGACAAGGGATGAGAATGAAGAAAAATATAAATTAGGCGATTATTTGATGATCCAAGACCAAATTCTCTGAACTAATATCAAAAGAATTGTATGGCAGACAGTTAGGAGAATTACTTAAGAGATTTTTGGAGTGAAAGGGTTAATAGTTCTTAAACAATCCTGGTGTTCCTCTTTTCTGTTTCCTCTTGGGAGGGTCAAGAAAGGAAATTTAACCAGAGACCACCAGGCAGAGGAGGGGAGGGGGCGGGCAGGGGAGCCACTTGAAATACGCAGAGAGTTAATTAATTAATTTATTTATTTCTTGTCTCGATCGTGTTACTGTACTCAGATCTTTACCTCCTTTTTCTTACCGTAGATGTTGCTGAGGAGCCTGGGTCGAGTCCTGCGAAGGCGATTGCAGTCGAAGACAAGCCCGTTAAACAAAATGTTCGGTACATATTAGTTGATATTCTGCTAATTTTGTGGTGGCCCCTCGTAAGTCCTCCTTCCTTCAAAATCTCTTCAATCTGAAAAGACTTTCACCACTATACATGCAAATTGGGAAAGTGTAATGAGCTTGTGGTTTCTCAAAATGAGAGTAGAGTGATTCCTTTGACTTGAGTTTAACTTTTTGAATGACTTTTTTACCGAAGGCTATTATCTTGATTTAAAAGGCCATATTGTCTTTTATACGATGTGTTTTGCCATGACAATTTTTAGGAAATAGAGGATATTACATGGCCGCGCGGGGGTACGAATTTTATCTTCTCGTGCTGAAAGTATCTCTCACTGACAGATACTTTCAGCACGAGAAGATAAAATTCGTATCCCCCAAGCGGCCATGTAATGTTCTGTTTATTATATAGATACTGATGAAATTTCCACGTAAAAGACAACTTTTTTTATTCATTTTCGAAACAGTAATTGGGTAATTATGTTGGTAACCATGGCCACACCAATATCCTCACACGTGAAAGATAAAAATAGTATCTTCACTGCGCGCGGTGAAGATATGATGTTTTAGTAAAAGGAGAAATCCTGGTATTTCATCAGTTTGTATATGATAAAGGAAATTAAGGGGACTCTGTTAAAAAATATTACCATATCAAAGTTAATCAATTGCTGTTGCCTCCCTCCCAGCAACGTTGAGGAACTCACTGCAAGCCAAACAGAGCAACTGGTATGGGAGTATGCCCATGAACTGAGGGAAATATTCGAGGGCAAGGTAGTCACATCTTTGTTTGTAAGTCTCGCGGAAAGAGAAAAAGAGAAAACTGTTTTTGACCGAAAAGTAAAGTTGACACGATCGATGGACTGAAAGACTGATGAAGGACACTGAGGGTGACGCTGACTGTCTGACTGATTGATTGATTGATCAAATAATTAACTGACTGATTGATTAATTAATAGTTAATTAATAATTAACTGACTGATTGATTGGTTGGTTGGTTGAATGATCGATTGCAGAATTATTTGATTGAATGATTGATTGATTGAGAAAAACACTGTGCTTCTTTTGATTGATACAGAAATATTGTCGACGCCATGAGGATTACAAAAAAGGTGGAAAGATTAAAGGTATTACAAGCTTCATTTGATCCTGATTTCTCTTTGATTTTGTTGTTTTTATTCTTTTTCGCGTAGTCCACATTTGAAAATGAAAACCCGTGTATTCGAGGCCATTATGGCCTGTTCAAAATGAGTAATTTTTTTTCCTCTTTCGCGATCTCCAAAAGGTCTAAGTACTCTTTTTCCAAGACACCCACAATTTCAGATGACTGTACCGGAATTCAAGGGGTGTAGAACCAGGTCTGTTTAGGCCACAGCGAGAAAAGAATGGCCCTATCGTATGATAGAGCGTTTTTTTTTTTTCGTCTTCTACTCTTCTTGATTTCGCCGTGTTAATTCACAGGTGATTTGGCATTTCAAGTACAGTTTGGATTATTTTCTGAAGAACAGCGTGATAAGATAATGGGAGTCCTCACCCACATGTTTTGTTACAAGCACAGCAAGGTAACAATACGTTTAAAAGTTAAGTTAAACTCAGCGACAGACTGAATTGTTAGCAAAGTTGAAATGGTAAATTAGCCACCGTAATGATTACAAAAGCTGACGTTTCGAGCGTTAGCCCTTCGTCGGAGCTAACGCTCGAAACGTCAGCTTTTGTAATCATTACGGTGGCTAATTTACCATTTCAACTTTGCTAACAATTCAGTCTGTCGCTGAGTTTAACTTAACTTTTAAACGTATTGTTACCTTGCTGTGCTTGTAACAAAACATGTGGGTGAGGACTCCCATTATCTTATCACGCTGTTCTTCAGAAAATAATCCAAACTGTACTTGAAATGCCAAATCACCTGTGAATTAACACGGCGAAATCAAGAAGAGTAGAAGACGAAAAAAAAAAA